CTATACCCACCAAGCTCGTCTCAACTGCCCACACTGCCCTCGCACCTTCACGCATCGCATGGGTCTATTCGGCCACATGCGCATCCACGAGAGCGGAATTGACCACAATTCCGATGCAAGAACCACGCCCGTCATGCCCAGCACCACCCTTGCAGCATCCGTCTGCACCACCACCAACGCCTCCTCTGTAGCTGACACTGACACCGCCGCCTACACATGCCCACACTGTCCACGCACATTCACATCATGCATCGGCCTGATCGGTCACTTGCGAAGCCATCGCACAGAGACTGGCGAACCAGTGCCTGGAGCACCAACCTACACCCACCAAGCTCGCCTCCACTGCCCACACTGTCCTCGCACTTTCAGGCACCGCATGGGTCTATTCGGTCACATGAGCATCCACGACGACCTGTGGTGGACAGCCGCCGGTTACACCACACTACACCACTACACCACACATCCACACACCTCCTACCCTCCTCCACCATCACCACTACGCATCAACACTCACCCACCACATGCACCAACGGTCACCTTCCACGCAAGTTGGAAGTGTGCATCTCGACCTGGTCCCCATGCGGCCTCGGCTGCACGGGTGACTTGAGTCCGAGGCTATCCCGACATGCTAAGTGTCGTGGAAAGGAAGGTTGCTGATTGACGCCCGTTCTCGGTTCACGCAGTTCGTCACGTTGTGTGTGTGTGTGTGTGTGTGTTGTGTGGAGTGACGGACTGGGGGGCTGAGGACGGGCTGAAGCAGCACCTTCCACGGCCCTCTCACGCAAGTGAGAGACACGCCGTTCAATCCCCGTTGTGTGAAATCCTGGTGTTTGTGTGTGTATGGGGGGCCAGGTCGTGCTGTGGCGCGCGCAGGCATGGTCAGTCGACCGTGTCAGCCACCGAGCCCATTCCCCACTCCAGTCTGCTGACCGGCTCGGACAGCGGCTGCGGTGTGGGAGTGGGAAGGGAGAGTGAGGTCGACGACTCAGCGCACTTTCCTCAATATAAACAAGCTGACGCGCTTGAAGCTATCACGGTGCGCTAAAAGCCGTGGCTTGGAAGGTTGCCAACTGACGGGGTAACCTGGACCTCCTCCTTGACCGGAGGCGGTCTGAGAGTCAGGCTGCAATGGCTCCTTTTTAATGTGGCCTTTATGGCACTCCCATCACAGTGTGGGATCCGAGCCAGGCGTTGGCGGCACGCCCAGGTGCGGCTTCGGCCGTGCCAGCCTCCAAATCTCTGTTGTGTTGGTTGAAATCCTGGTCATTTGTTGTGTGGACCAGGGGGTGTGGTGGAACGCCAAGGTGAGGATCCGTCCGAGCCATCCACCTGCGGCCTCCCTCGTCTCCGGTCTTCTTGACTCTGTCTTGACACTGGGCCCAGGCGGGGGAGGAGGAGAGAGTGTAGGTAGATGCTACGCAAGTCTACTGGCACTATAAGCCCCTGCGTAAGTCACCGTCCCTGCTCCACAATGCAGTCTGTGGGGCACACGGTGGACATCATCGAAACCAATGGTCGAACTGTCATTGAGCGCGCAGTCGCAAACGAGGAAGAAAATGTGGACAGTTGCCGTGGAGAGAAGTGCAGTGGCCTGCATTCAACGGCTATTGAAAAGATGGCCGTCGGTCCTATAGGCGATGCGGAGCACGGTTCGGACCACAATTTGCGCGGCGTGAGCCTGGAACTGGCCTGCCACCCCACCCTGATTGTTAGGGGTGCGCCTGCCGGACTCCGATCTAGCTCCTGTGTTGACTTGGAGCATCTAACGCGTGGCCCGTTTTAGGGCACAACAACAGTTCGGCCGTCGTGATCGACGATGCCTGCCGTGTGCTTCACGGCAGGGTGGAGCGGAGACGCGTCGACTTGAGCGTGCATTCATTTATCGTGGTAGTAGACTTGCTCCGCGTCCACCGCACTCTATCCTTTTCCCCTCATTTGTGCACGGTGTTAAGACAGAGTTAAGAAGACAAGAGGCGAGAGCGGGCGCAGTGACTGAAAAAGCTAAACAGCCCGTGTGCGTGTGCCACACACGCCTAGTCCACGCACGATAGACCGAGTTTTCGCGCAAAATGAGAGGTGCGAACAGCTTGGATCCCATCTGAGTGAGAATGCCATAGAGGCCACATTTAGGAGAAGCCACTGCAACCTGGCTTCCCCCCTGAAAGGACCGAATTATCGTACCAGTTGGCAGCCTTCCAGACCGTGGCTATTGGCGTAATGTGGTCGTTAAAAGTTTATAGTGATAAATATGCACCGAGTGCCGTGGGACGCAGTCAACAGGGTCGACCTCGGCTCTTCCTCCCCCTGTCCACTGTGCGAGCCAAATGACATTTGATGTGGGGATTGGGCGAAAGTGGCTGACAGAGCTCAGCAACCAGTCTTCGCATGCCACACGCTGCCTGCCTGCCCATCGCAACGCATCTGGTTTGCACGTAATAGGAGTGGACGGATCGGATGTCACAACCAGGAGTCATTCATTGAGGTCAAGCCCAAAAGGAACCATTTAGAGCGACTCAGTCCACCGGGCAGTCCCTCCACACAAGCACAAACTGGGCTGGATGAGAGGTCTGATTCGTGTCGTCGGTTGGCAACCCTGCAAGCCACGACGCTTACTTCGTCACGATACATTCAGAGCGTCAGAGTTGTTATAGTAACCAGTGTGTTGTGGTTCCGCTGGGATGGAATCCCAGGGTCGGCCTCATTCTTTTCCCTCTCCCGTGCACCACTCGACCGTCCCAACTGATAAGCCAACTGATGAGGAGCTTGGACGAAGTGGCCCGCAGGACTAAACATGCAGACTATGATCACCGGCAAAGACGAGGAAGATTGAATTGGCCATTTCAGGATTGTTAGACGCCATCAGCCAGCCACACTAAACCCCCTAAGGTTTGGACCCGCGCTCTGTTTTTTTTTAAGAAACCCAGCGTTCTAACCACTGAGCCACGGGCTTTTTGTCTTGTCAGTTTGTGGTCGGTTTGTATGAGGGGTCCACCGATTACGCCACGAGACCTACTTGCCCCGTTGTGTCTTGGGGTTCGATTTATGGCCCCACAGGTAGCCGCACACCGACTATTAGTACAGGCGAAATGAGATAACGGATTCGTTATCATATCGTGGTTCCGTGACTGGAACGTTGGACTTCCAATCGATGGAACGCCGGTTCGAACTTCAGAGGTTAGCTGTGGACGGCTGATGACGGCTAACAAGCCA